GTCTATACTTTCAAGCATGATGTGTTTCCTTTGCCAGGACACTTTTTTTATATTTTATTTTATTTAATGAACATAAATTTCCAAAGTACAGCTTATGGATTACAATAGCTCCCCCCCCATAACTTCCCTCCCACCCACAACACTCCCCTCTCCCACTCCCTCTCCCCTTCCATTCACATCAAGATTAATTTTCAATTATCTTTATATACAGAAGATCAATTTAGCATATATTAAGTAAAGATTTCCAACAGTTTGCACCCACACAGAAACACAAAGTGTAAAATACTATTTGAGTACTAGTTACAGCATTAATTAAACACCTAAGAGTAATTGTGTATTAATTACAGAGTTCAACCAATAGTTTTAAGTAGAACATAAAAAGTACTAAAAGGGTAAAGTATTAAGTTCTTTTTTTTTCTTTTTTTTGTTTGTTATATAGTTATGTTTTTTGTTTAATAAATGTGAATTTACAAAGTGCAACTTTTGTATTGTTGTGGCTCCCCCCCCACCTCCCTCCCTCCCGTGGCCCTCCCCTCTCCCACTCCCTCTCCCATCCTGCCCTTCATCAAGTTTCATTTTCAATTACCTTCATATACTGAAGATCAACTTAGTATATACTAAGCAAGGATTTCAACAGGCTGCACTCACACAACCGCACAAGGTATAGGGTATTGTTCCACTAGTAGTGTTGTTTTTTAAGTTTCATAGTAGAACACATTAAGGACAGAGATCCTACGTGGGGAGCATGTACCCAGTGACTCCCGTTGTTGATTTAACAATTGGCACTCTTATTTATGACGTCAGCAATCACCTGAGACTCTTGCTATGAGCTGTCTAGGCTATGGAAGCCCCTTGAGTTCACCGACTCTGAACTTGTTTAGTCAAGGCCATATCACAGTGGAGGTTCCTTCCTCCCTTCAGAGAAAGGCACCTCTCTCCTTGATGGCCTGTTCCTTCTGCTGGGGTCTTGTTCACCAGGATCTTTCATTTAGATTGTTTTTTGCCACCGTGTCATGGCTTTCCATGCCTGTGAGACTCTCATGGACTTTTTAGCCAGATCCGAATGTCCCAAGGGTTGATTCTGAGGTAGGAGTGCTGCCATTCTATGAGTCTGCTGTGTGTGCCAGGACACTTTTGATCACACATGTATTCCAAGCCTAGCCATTTGCTTGGCACCTAGAAGGCATGAATGTATATGTGTTGGTTGAGTGGAGGAAGTATGATCGTCACCTCTAGGAACTTTATGGGTGGTGACCTGGTCGCAGAAGGCTGTGATGTGAGGTCAGAGGTGGAGGTTTCAGAGGGGCAAAGACCAGGGGCTGAGGGTCTGGGAGCAGGGAAAGACACAGTGTTCTCCTGCAAGGAGCCGGTGTCTCAGCCCTCTCTGTTTGTGTCAGGACAACCCGAAGCGTATCTTGTTCTGAATATTGCACTCATCACTCAGATGGCCTTAACTTGAAGAAAAATAATATATACTTGATTTGTAGAAGATTGTTAAAAACAAAAACAAAATTTGTCTCTCAATGCCAAAGAGTGAAGACATCAACTTGCTGTGCGGGTTTCCAAAGCTCGAGGAAAGGGCAGTCTCCTCTTGGAAGGGATTCCGAGTGCAAAGGGCTTGTTGGAGAAGACTAGTGTGAGCCTGCCCGGTTCACATGCCCAGGTCCACGGAGGGAGCTGGAGACTGGCAGAGCTGGCTCAGAAGAACCGCGGGGAGAACACCCAGCTGCCCTTGGGACAACCTTTGTAGGAGCCGCTGCACCTGGCGGAGGGGTCCTCAGCAGCACTCACTCACACCGGCTCTCATAGCCCTGCATTTACAGATTAGACACATGGCAGCAGGGATGTCAGGACATGTCCCTGCCGCGAAGTCTTGCCTGGTCTTGCCCTGCCTCCTCAACACGCCTGACTCCTTCCCTGCACATGGGTTCCTTGCCTCTTCCCCTCCAACTCCTCCTTCCTCTGCCGCTGAGCTCACTCCAAGTAACTCCGCTGCTCACTAACAAATCGCCCAGGTTCTGGAAATGCTACCACGCTTGTAGTTTGTATTAGAATGGTAACGGCTGATACTGGTTTGTAGGTTTTAAGACCTCTTCTGCCCATTTCCTAGGCTTGCCACTTAACCAGCCTGAGTCATCTGTAAGTAAAGGAGGATACAAATAACACTTCCTGGAGTGTGGGGTCGTACAAGGATTGGCTTAAGAAATAGACTCAAAGGGGTGGGCATAGCCAGGCCCTCCCCAGGCTGTTGTGGGCCAATCCTCTACAACAGAGCCCCTGGAGCTTCCCTTTGCCTCTGGGTCCTGGTGGTGCCCCAGCGGTGATTTTGCAGTTGTTGGTGGCAGATGGGGATGTGGTGAACTTGGATGGGACAGGAGTTACCAGTCTAGTGTTTCTGTCCCTCAGTAATGGGGAGATCCTTTCTGAGCGGCAGAATAGAATGTGCTGGAGCAGCTTAATCCTGGCTTGTCTGTTAACCACTGCAGGGAGAGTTTGGCTGAGGACCCTTGCATTTAGAACATTAGTCATTATTCACCCTGCTGCCTGCCTCATCTTAATTGTCTGCCTTTGTTGTTTTTTTCTTAAATGCAAGAAACGTAAACCAACCCAAGCAGAACAAAAAAGGGTATTGGATCAGAGCTGGCAGGGCACCCGCAGAACTGCTTTTGCATTCAAGGGGCCATCCTGTGGTGGAATGAGGAGGTGAAAAGGTCATGCCAAGATGGCCGCTGACAACAGAAACTGCCTGGCAACAGGCCGTGATTGGATGGCTTCGGAAACCACATGACAACAGAGCCTGACTGACAGCAGGCTGTGATTGGATGGTTTCAGACACTGCCTGGCAACAAGAGCCTGACTGGCAACAGGCTGTGATTGGTTAGGGCATAGACCGCCCCTTGACTGGATTGGCTTCCTTGGCTATATAAGCAGCCAACTGAAATAAAGGAGTCTGCAGACTGCTTGCCTCAGGCCTGCTTTCACCTGACCCCCCACTACACTCCTCCTCTCAGAAAGAATCCTCTCAGAAAGAAATCAATTTCAACACCATCCATTGTCAAGTATCCTGAAGGTGCCCCCACCTCTCCCAGCTTCTCGTACTTACACCTTCCCCTCCCCCACTCCAAATCCTCTAAGCAATCTGCAGGGATTTTTCATGAGATTAAAAAGGAACTATGCTAAAGGTTCCATTCTGGGTAAACAAAAGCTCAACCAGGCAGCACTATCATGCTGACTTGAATCTGGGCTGCCTGATCGCCAAGCTCCTGCTGTGGAGCAGGAGTGGAAAGAGACAGTGGATCCGGGCCATAGGGCTTCTTGGGCTTGGTGTCTACTGCTGTGGTCAGGGCCAGGCCAGTCTTTCATGGAGATTTTTATTACAATTCTGAGTTCTCAGTTGTTTAATCAAAAGTAGTTAGAACTATGGGAGGTAGGTGAGGTGACAAGAAAAGACCTGAATTCTGGACTGTGGTATGATACATGCAGTATGATTTCATCTTTATGTAGGCTCAACAACAATGGTTCACAGGGCAATTCTTTTTTTTTTTTTTTTAAGATTTATTTGTTTATTTGAAAGACAGAGTTATAGAGTGAAGTAGAGAAAGAGAGAGGTCTTTCATCTGATGGTTCACTCCCCAGATGGCTGCAACAGCCGGAGCTGCACCCATCCGAAGCCAAGAGCCAGGAGCTTCCTCCGGGTCTCCCACATGGGTGCAGGGGCCCAACGACTTGGACCATCTTCTACTGCTTTCCCAGACCATAGCAGAGAGCTGGATCAGAAGAGGAACAGCCGGGACTAGAACCAGCGCCCATATGGGATGCTGGCACTTCAGGTCAGGGCTTTAACTGGCTATGCCACAGCACTAGCCCCCAGAGGGCAATTCTTTTAAAAAACCTGAGAATGGGTGTTGGGACACAGCTGCTGTTCGGGATGCCTTCTCCCATACTGGGAGGCTGGTTTGAGTCCCAGCAGCTCTGCTTCTTATCCAGCTTCCTGCTAATGCATTCTGGGAGGAAGTGTGTGATGGCTCAAGTGCTTGGGCCCCTGCCACACTTGGGAGATCGCTGGCTTCTGATTTTTTCAGCCAGGCCTAGCCCAGGCTGTTGCAGACATTTAGGGGAGTAAACCAGTGGATAGAAGTTTCTCTCTCTGTCTCTGTCTCTGTCTCTGTCTCTGTCTCTTTCTTTCTCTGTCACTCTGCCTTTCAAATAAATTAAATTAAAAAAAAAAAAAAGCAGAAGCAAAGACAAAACGTAAGTCCCATTGTTTTGAGCCAGACATTTCCAGGCTGTTAATGATTGGTAGCATTTATTAAGCACTTGCTGTGTGGTAGGTAGCCATGAGCTGTGTGTTTGCCAGATGTTGTATCATTTAGTCCTATAACAGCTCCTGAAGGCAGGTATCATATCCCTACTCTGCAGATTGGAAACTGAGATGTAGAGAGGTGGTTCCTGGCCCACAGTCAAGTGAGTAGAAATTGGCAGACTTGGGACTTGGACCCAGCTGATGAACCCTGTACCCTGACTGTGCAGTTAGTGGGATAGAGGAAAACTATCAGCAAACTCTCCTTTCCCTCCTGCGGTGAAATCAGTGGGAACAGATATGCTCCCTTGTTCCTTATAATGTGCCGGCAGCTTCTCAAGTCCAGTGTATCTTGGGAAGGGTCTTGAATTTCCCTCTAGAGCAGGGCTCAGGGAGGGAGGCTGGAGGCTGGGGGCACAGCCCAGCACCATGGGGCTGGTTATTGGCTGGGTTTGGTAGAAGTAAGGTCTGAGCAAGCCCATACTGTGCCCCATCTAGATTTGCTTGTTTTGAGATTTTTACCCTGTGACCCAAAATATGAATGCATGTTGTTTTAAGCTCGAGGGTTTGGGTAGGACTGCATGCAGGCCTGAGGTCCAGGCTGGGTGGGGTACAGGCTACATGGTTTTCAGATTGGGTGGCTTCTCTCTGTCCCAGGGTCCTGGGCAGCACCTAATCTTAGCAGTCATCTACCTTACAGGCTCTGGGACATTCAAGCCTGAAAGGCAACAGGATTTGCCCAAAGCTGCAGTAGTTTGGCGTGGGGTCAGAACTAGAACTCTAGTCCATTGGTGTACCTTCCTGTACCCTGCCTGACCTTGTCATTCCCATTTGCTCCTGGTAAGTCGACATACTGAGAACTTTGGGTATGGAGGTAGGGATCTCTTTGTGTGGAAGTTTCTCTTTGAGGAAGAGATGTTTTAGTAAGTGCAGCTTCCTTGCTTATGTGTTGGAGTTTTGCCTTCACCTTTCCTCCAAGTACTATGTGGAGCTTATAGATGGGCAAGTGAGAGCACAGCCCAGGGATGTTCCACACCTGACCTGAGAATGATGCCTGAAGGGTTAGGCCAGGCCAGCAGGTTATGCATTCAGCAAATATTTGTTGAGCCTTTTGCCCAAAACTAGAGGCAACCGCGGTAAACACTCCAGGGCTTGCCAGCAGAAAAGCTAACAGGCTGGCAAGAGCCAGAGATACAGGTTCAGGCAACCGTTCTGCAAAAAGTGTTTCCAAGGATGGCCGTGGGTACTCCAGAGCTGGTGGATGGCCCTGGGTACTCCGGAGCTGGTGGTGTCTAGCCGAGGGGGTGTTCAGGGAGGACTCTGCTGAGGGCCATAATGCAGCAGGGAATGAAAGTAGGAGCCAAGTGGCAGGTGCAGGGTATGTTGTTCTAGAGTTGATGGTTTAGGAACCATACCTAATTTAGTGCCTGGAGCAGGAGCTGGAAGAGGGCAACATAAGGCAGGTGAGGAAAGCAGGGGTCAGGTCATGCAGATCTCAGTGGAGGCTCTGGGCATTCTCATGAGAGCAGTGGAGCATGAAAACTTGGTTCCATGTCTCTCTTGCAGCCTTAGCATGTGTATGAGAGAAATTTTGGATCTCAAATAAAAGAAAATGTTTTGCTAAGACCTCTGGAGGCAGAACAAGTTCAGGGACTCTGCCAGAGACAATGCCGACTCCTATACTCCATGTTTGCCATCAAACCAGCGTTTGCCTTGGGCGTGATTAGGGAAGCTCCCGTGTGTCCTGCCCTATTCCTGCTGCAGGCCTCAGCATGTGCTGGATGATGTCATCATGATTCATGGCTGTGACCATCCATGCTCCAGAGAAGCTCTCAGTCCTTGAAAGCTATGCCATATCCTGGTTGTTTTATTTATGTATTTTTTTAACAAGATACATTTTATTAAGTAAAATATCATATTATTTGTGGATAAATACATATATAATAAAACCACAAAAATATAAAACTAAAATCAAGTATACTTTTGGATCAGGGAGGAAAGAGAATAGCAAGGGAGTACCTCCAACTCTGTAACATTTTAATGCTAAAGAAAGCCAGCACTGACCTGGCTGCCTAACCTCACGACCAGTACAGGCAAAACGGGAAACCAGAACCTGAACACATCACATGCATGGCCCCTCATCACCATAATTCGGAAGTAGCCTTCCCACTGAGCTTGTCACCTCCAGCCAATTGAGTTCTCACTTGTCACTCGTCCATCAACCACACTTACAGACATGCCTTAACCTTATAAGACAGAAATAGTCCCCAGCTGTGACTGCTCATCTGTCAATCTGATTGGGCCACCAATGCCCAACATTTGGTCAAACGTTGTTCTCTCTGTCTGTCAGAGAGAGTTTTTGGATGAGATTAGCACATAAAAATGAGTGGACTTTGAATTGAGCAGATTGCCCTTACTCATGTGGGCTGGCTTCAACCTATCAATCTTGATAGAATAAAAAACAGACCTACCCCTAGTAAGGCAGTATTATTTCTGTCCAATGGCTTGCAAACAGCATCATCAGCGTTTTCTTGTCTCCACACTTAAAATATCAGCTCTTCCCTCCATCTCTCTCTCTTGCTGTCTAACTCTGCTTCCCCTTCCAGTGCTGGCGCGCAGACTCTGTGGCTGGGCTTCCATGTGGTGGGCGACCTTGCTCTCCCCGTAGGTCCTCCATGTCACATCCACTAGATCCGGAAGAGTTTCCTCTGCAATTTTTTCCTGAAGCTACAGTAACTCCACTTTTATTAAACTATCTTTTCCCAGACTATCGGTGCGCGCCCTCACTATTCTGCCATCTTCTATTTATGTATTTTTTCTAAATGCAATCACTTTCTTTAAGTTGTTAGTATGAAAGTAACATTTAAAAAAAAAAAAAGATTTACTTTTGGCCGGCGCCGTGGCTCACTAGGCTAATCCTCCACCTGTGGCGCCGGCACCCCGGGTTCTAGTCCTGGTCGGGGCACCGGATTCTGTCCCGGTTGCCCCTCTTCCAGTCCAGCTCTCTGCTGTGGTCTGGGAGGGCAGTGGAAGATGGCCTGAGTGCTTGGGCCCTGCACCCGTGTGGGAGACCGGGAGAGGCACCTGGCTCCTGGCTTCGGATTGGCGCGGTGCGCCGGCCGCAGCATGCCAGCCGCAGTGGCCATTGGGGGGTGAACCAACGGAAAAGGAAGACCTTTCTCTCTCTCTCTCTCTCTCTCTCTCTCACTGTCCACTCTGCCTGTCAAATAAATAAATAAATAAAAGATTTACTTTTTATTTATTTGAAAGAGTTACAGAGAAAGAAAAGACAAGAGCAAGAGAGATCTTCCATCTGCTGGTTCATTCCCCAAATGGCTGTAATGGCTAGGACTGGGCCAGGCTGAAGCCAGGAGCCAGGAGCTTCTTTTGGGTCTCCCACATGGGTGCAGGTGTCCAAGCAGTTGGGCCATCTTCTGCTGCTTTCCCAGGCACATTAATAGGGAGCTGGATGGAAGTGAACCAGCTGGGTCTTGAACTGGTGCCCATATGAGGGGCTGGCATTGTAGGTGGCAGCTTAACCCACTATACCACTGCACCAGCTTCAATAACATGTTTTTATAAAAAAAATTAAGTATCTCAGAAGTGTATTCAATATAAAGTGGAATTTTTCCCCTCCCCTCATGGTCTACTCTCCCCCAGCCCATTTTTGTATGTTCACTGTGTAATGTTAAATAAAAATCTACTGTCATAGAATATATAAATTCTGCCTAGAATTTGACCACCTTGGAGCACTTCCCAAGACTCATTAAAGGTCCGTGAGCTTCTGTCTTTGGGCTCTAGGTCACTCATATTTTGCCCTGAATTAACCTTTTATTAACCTTTTTACAAGGCCTACTTATTTCTCTCAGTGCTTGGCATCTTCTGGTGCATCAAAGATAGTTACTGAAGTGTTAGGAAGCCACTAGAGGGCAAGTGGGGTCTCCTAGAAGACGATGAGGAAATCATGAGAACTTTGATGGCAATGTGTGTGGAGGAGAGGTGACATCTATTCATTCATTCATTCATTCATTCAGCAAATATGTACCTACTATGTGCCAGGTACTTTTTGAGGAGGACAATGTGATGTTTTCTCAGCAACCACTGATTTGATCTCCTGACAGCAAATGAGTATCCCATTCAGTTCTGACACTGCCCAGTCAGTGGGACCTCACAGGTTAAGGGGTCAAGACACCCTCCCCACTTCAGATGCCAGCTATGATTGGGGTCCTCAGGCTATCTATACTTCTTCCTGGCTGAGTACAGGATTAGGGACTCTTACAACTCCCCTCCCCCAGGTTCAGTTAATGGCTGGGACAACTCACAGAACTCAGGAACGTATAGAGTTTATAAAGTATATTAATGTACAGCCAGAAGGGGAGATGCAGAGGACAAGATCTGGAAAGGTCCAGCGTATAGGACCTCTGTCCTGGTGGTGTCTAATGTACTCCCAGTGTTTGGCAAGGCAATACCTGCATAGCCTACTTAAGTTGCTACCTTGACCCTAACATCATTTCTCTGAGAGAGCAGGATGCCTTGCAGTCCATAGTTTCTCCTCAGGCTAACTGACCAGGACCAGCAAGATTCAATACGGCTGCCTGATGACCTCAGAAGACCTCAGACCTCCTTACAGTCTAATTTCCTTGTTAAGTGATTCTCCCACCAGTGCCGTGAGAGTTGACAGTAACTGTGACAGCCCCTGGAAGAGGCTGATTCTGAGAATTATGCCACCCCCTTTCCCAGAGAAGTCATAGTATTCCTCCTACTTATTAGCGCACTCCTCCTCCACATTCCTGTGGCCCTGTGTGTTTGACTCCTCAGCTCCCAGTGGGTTTGGAAGTTGATTTGCAAGCTAAGCTCTTGCTTCTCCATTCTTTGGCCGCTGAATAAAGCTTGTGCTGTTGGTGCTCAGCTTCGGCTTAGTAATTGACTTGGTAACGCTAAATAGACAAAGGAATCGATTTTGGAAACCCTCTCCACATAATGGGGATCCCATACATGGAGTGACACCAACATATGCATGCATTTGTTAAAACCTTGGAGGCTCCCCAAGCCCCATTGCCTAGGGTTTTATGTGGAATTTCATTACATAAGCATGGCTAGTGAAATCATTGCCAATGGTGATTAAGTTTAATTTTCAGCCCTTCTCCTCTCCTTGAGGTTGAGGTTGAGGGTGAGATAGAAGGTTCCAGGCCTTCTTATCACATAATTAGATCATCTGGAAGCTACCTTCTATCCTGAAGCTATCTAGGGGCCCACCAGAATCATTGTATCAGCATAGACGTAGATACGGCTGGAAGGAGATTTGTTCTGAATAATGAAAAGGCATTTCTATCAGTCAGGAAATTTCAAAGGTTTCAGGTGCTCTGTGCTACAAGCTAGGCAAAGATACTTAAAATATATCTTTTATTATACCATAATAAGATATCTAACTTTGTAGAGCTTACAATCTGGTAGGAGAAAATGCCAATAAAAATAGATGTGATAGATTATGTGAAATGTTGGAAGGCGAGGAGTGCTTAGGAAAAAAAAAAAAGAGCAGAGTAAGGGAGTTAGGAGTACAAGTGGTTGGGGTGACAAATCTTTTATAATTTCAGGTTCATTTCAGGTGAGAGCTAATTTAGTTTTAGACAAGAACTTAAGTACTGTGTTTGAAGCACAAAATAGGATCATTAAAAAAAAAGGATTTGCAGGACATGATAAGAAAAAAAGCATATGGTTGAAATGAATTCCTTGACTCATTCCTATCCTCATAATGAGTTGAGTTCTGTTTTGGTTGGTTAGCATCAAGGGAGGATGAGCACTAACTGAATCAGGTTCAAAGTTAATTTCAGCACAGTTAAAAAAGAAAGAACTGTTCCCAAATCCAGCGTAGTAATGTGATGTTGTAGTCACGTCATCTGCTGGATGAGCTGAGGACAAATAGAACGTTAGAGAGATATCTTAGCCTGAGTCTCTACAACAGGATTCCATAGACTGGGTGACCTATAGACCACAGAAATTTGTTTCTGAAGTTCTGGAGGCTGGACGATCCAAGATCAAAGTGTCTGCATATTCGATGTTTGGTGATAGGCCACTGCCTGGCTCATAAGTGGCTGTCTTCTTGCTGAGTTCTCACATAGTGGAAGGGGTGAGAGAGTTCCCCAGAGTCTCTTTTCTTAGGGCACTAATCCCAGATTCTCTCTCATGACCTAAGCATCTACAGAAGGTGTCCCACCTCCTAATACCACCCCATTGGTGATATTTCTATATAGGAATTTGGGGTCAGGAGACACAAATATTCAGTCGATAGCTAAAGGTATTGAAAAAGCTGCATTGGAAATGGGGTCTGTGAAGTCAGTCCTGGAGACCTAGAATAACCATGTTTATCTTTTCTGCCTTTCACAGAACTGAATGTTGACATTCTTGAAATGTTGTTTTTATTTTTCTTTGGCAAAATCTGCAAACAAACCTTGGAGCTCATGAAAACATCTACATTCCTCAGATGGCTGGGTCATAGTCTCATTGAAGTGGATGTAGCAGTTAGCATCTGGACAACTTGGGAGCTGAGGGCACTCTGGAGGGCAATTGGTCCTTTTCTTCAATGCCTCATTTTACAAGTGAAGAAACTACCTAAAGTCAGTACAGAGGATTCATGAGAATCAGATCTGAGTTTGGTTTTTTGTTTGCTTTTATTTTTTTAATTTATTTGAAAGTCAGAATTTTACACACACACACACACACACATACAGAGAGAGAGAGAGAGAGAGGGAGGTCTTCCATCCACTGGCTCACTCTCCAATTGGCCGCAACGGTTGGAGCTGTGCCGATCCCAAGCCAGGAGCCAGGAGCCAGGAGCCAGGAGCTTCCTTTATATCTTTCCATGCAGGTGCAGGGGCCCAAGGACCTGGGCCATCTTCCACTGCTTTCCTAGGCTATAGCAGAGAGATGGATGGAAAGTGGAGCAGCCAGGACTTGCGCTGGTGCTCATCTCATAGGATCCCAGCACTGCAGGCAGCAGCTTTACCCACTAAGGCACAGCGCCAGCCTCAGATCTGAGTTTTCATTAAATATGATGTTTTACCTACCATACCAGACTTTCCATATTGTAATCTTCTGTTTAAAATTTGCAGTTTGCTAAGGTTTGAAAGCTAGGAGCTTGAGGGCTAGGTCTCCAGAGAGACCTTAGCATTTGCTGCCCTGTGCTGCCTCAAGAGTTTTCTGCCTGCCAGCTCCACAGTGCTCCTTGGCCACCCCAGCTCAGGCTGCCCGTTTGCAGGGCTCAGGCAATGTTCACAGGGTGCTGGCTTGGTGTCGTCAGCACAGAGGTCCTAGGGGCCTCCATCTAGATTTCAGAGGACGAGGCAGGCAGCCTGGGAGCACAGGCGGAGACTTGTCGCAGGAGCAGAGCCACCACACCACCACAGAGAGCTCCCAACAACATGCTCCCTACCTCAGAGAAAATTGTCCAGCCCTGCTTTAATCCTAATTAAAGCCAACCAGCTATCCTTGCAGGTGAACAGGAGTCACAACAGATTGGATGAAGGCACATTCCTTCTGGTGAACTCTCCTTGATAAGAAACCTCAGGCTGTGCCCTGGTTGAAGCCAGATTCAGAATTCTTGGCATAAGCACCATTTCCCACTTTATCATTCTGATATGGAAGTCCAACCCCCCTCATTGTTTTTAAAAAATTTTTTTTAATTTTTTTTAAGATTTATTATATTTATTTGAAAGAATTACAGAGAGATGTAGAGACAGAGAGAGAGGTCTTCCATCTGCTGGCTCACTCCCCAGATGGCCACAACAGTCGGAGCTGCACCCATCCGAAGCCAGGAGCCAGGAGCCAGGAGCTTCCTCTGGGTCTCCCATGTGAGTGCAGGGGCCCAAGGACTTGGGCCATCCCCCCTGCTATCCCAGGCCATAGCAGAGAGCCGGATCGGAAGAGGAGCAGCTGGGACTAGAACCAGCACCAAAATGGGATGCCGGTGCTTGAGGCCAGGGCGTTAACCCACTGTGCCACTGTGCCACAGTGCCGGCCCTTCAACCCCCTCATTGAAATGTTGACTCTTCACCTCCAGCTGAATGTGGGTCTTGTGTAGCATACGTGATAACTTAGTGGGCAAGCACACCCACATCCTTTTGATTACCTATACCCCTTCCTGAGGTTTCTCCAAACTGAATGAATGTGTATGACTTCTCTAAAGGCAAGCCTTAGAACATCTGTAGAACCTTGCTGGGGGAGCCTGGTTTTTGGTCAGGAGGCTACCCTGCTCCTTGGCTTGGCCAATTCTACTCTTTTCTGCTCAATTTGTTGCTGTGAGTTCCATGGGCATACATGGTAAATAAAAGCCCTCAGATTTTTCTCCCCAGTTACATTCCCAACTAGGGCAAAGGGCAGTAGGCCCATGGGGTCATGTTTGTTGCAGGGACCCCAGAACTATAGAGGGGCCAATGTGCATCCCCAGCCTGGGAGAACTGTAGATGTGAGGCACCAACCCTTGGAGCTGTGGCATAGCCAGTGCCCAGAAAAGCCTTAGGGATGGGGGTGCCTGAGCCTTGAGGGTATTCAACCTACAACCCAGTACACTCAGACAGTGGACCATGGTATCAGGGAAGGCTGTCCTGTAGCTTTAAGATTTAATGTTGTATTCTCTGTCGTGTTTTGGGCTTGCTTAGGACCAGTTACCCTTTTTTATTACCTATTTCCCTTTCGCGATGGGAATGTCTGCTCTGTACCTGTTCCACCATTATATTTTGAAGTTGATTGCTTTTTCACAGGCTCGGAGCCGGAGGGGATTTTCCTTAGAATGAATCATGCCTTGATTCTCACTCATATCTGATTTAGTTGAGACTTTAGACTTTGAATGTTTTAACTGGTGCTGGAATGAGTTAAGACTTTGGGACTCTTGGGAGGAAATGAGTGTATTTTGTAGGTGAGAAGGACATGAATTTTGGGGGGAGGGGGGCTGAGGCAAAATGCTACAGTTTGAATGTGTCTATCAAAATGCATGTCTTGGAACTCAATCCCTAATGCAACTGTGTTGGGAGATGGGGCCTAATAGGAGATGTTTACATCACCAGGGCTGCACCCTCGTGAATTTTTTTAAAGATTTATTTAATGCCAGTGAGAACGGCTTGATCTTTTTCTCACACCTGGACTCCTTTGCCCTTCTGCTGTTCCAGCATGGAATGGCACAGCAAGAAGGCCCGCCAGATGCTGGCGCCTTGATGTGGGATTCTCTAGCTTCCAGAACTGTGAAAAGTAATTTTTTTTAAGAATAAATTACCCAGTCTATGGTATTGTCGTGGCAACACAAAACAGACTAAGTTTTATATATATGTACATATATGATTCTTTTTTTTTGTGAACAGAACTTTAGGAATGACTATTTTCTCTTTAATGACTGTTTTAACCTTTAAGGGGTGAGTTCCTTGCAGCCGTGTTTCTACCTGGTGAACTTGCTCCCATGTAACTGATTAGATCAGCCATTAGCTGAGGTTAGGTTCTCATTCTATGGTTTTTGGACTGAATCCAGGAATTTGAGATTGAGTCATGTGAATTCCTTAAGCTGTAGAGGGAAGGTCTTCAAATTCCTTGAGGCCCTACCAGTTGTCTTGTTCTATTTCTTGGATTTCATCCTTTCAATAAATTTTTTGCTTTGTTGATATTTAAAGATTTATTTATTTTGAATGTCAGAGTTACACAGAAAGCTGGAGAGACACAGATCTTTCATCTTCTGGTTCACTCCCCCAGATGGCTGTAATGACAAGGGCTGGGGCAGGCTGAAGCCAGGAGCCAGGAGCTTCATCTGAGTCTCCCACATGGGTGGCAGGAACCCAAACAGTTGAGCCATCTTCCACTGTTTTTTTCCAGGCCATTAGCAGGGATCTGAGTGGAGTAGCTTGGACTCGAACTGGCACCCATATGGGATGTTGGCATTACAGACAGGGGATTTACCCACTACGCCACACCACCATCCCCTACTTCGTTGATGTTAACTCAGATTGTTTGTTGTTATTTGCATTCAAGGAAATGCAAACTTAGAACCTGGGAATAAAGTATGTCAGTTGCTTACAGATCTGAGGTATTTTTATTTATTTACCTTCAGTTCCAAACACTGCAGTTTATTGCACATAAAATAATGACAATCAATGTGAAAATATACACATTTGAGGTATTTTTAAATAACATTTTTACATACACTTAGAATTTACCATTTTTGCCATTTTCATAGGCACAGTTCAGTTGTATTAAGTATGTAGTATTGTTGTGCAACCATCATACCACCTATCTCCATTACTCTTTTCATCTTGAAAAGCTGCAACTTTATACCTATTAAATAATAACTCACAATTCTCTCCTTCCAGTTCTGTTGGGAGTCTTGTATTTTAGTGATGATCATAAATGACAGTGGGAAAAGTGCTTAAGTTGATCCTTCCAGAGCCCTTTTGAGAGGCAGCTTCAGTTTCTGTGTCTGTAAAGTAGGGACAGTCATACTTTTATCATAATGAAAGCAAAAGTAAATATTACACGAACTATATATATGGCAATTACCATTATGCATTCTGTTTCTATGAATTTGGTTATTCCAGGTACCTGATACGAGTGGGACCACACACTATTTGTTGTTTTTGTGACTGGCTTATTTATAGCCACCTATGCTCTCTTGTGGTTACTATTTGTATGATATTTCTTTCATCATCCTTGCACTTTTAACCTATTTGTGTCTGTAGGTCTAAAGTGAGTCTCTGTGGACAGCACAGAGTTGGACAATTTTATGTATTTATTATTTATTTAGAGAGGGAGAGAGACAGAGAGAAAGAGAGAGAGAGAGAGAAAGACGCAGATAGAGAGAGGTTCCCATCCACCGGTTCACTCCCCAAATTCCCACAATGACCTCGCACTGGGGGCTGAAGCCAGGAGCCAGGAATGGGATCAGAATATGTTACATGGATAGTAGGGACCCAGTCAGTTGAGCCATCACCATTGTCTTCCAAAATCTGCAGCTCCAAGGTCAGAAGTAAAACTCAGTCATCAGAACATGGTCTCCTGTATTTGGAGCATAGAATCCTTATTGCTCACTCTGGCTCTCCTAAGCTGCCAGCAAGCTGCTCCAGGAACTTGCCCAGCTGCCTGCCCTCGGGATGGGAGAGATTGCTGATGTGAGCTGTAAGTAACCACACCATCCAAGCCTTCCCCTGGAAGTTGAGAGCCTTTTAATAGACACTACAGTCCAAAATAGTTACACTAGACCATGCCAGTGCCGTCATGTCTGTGTTTGTGTGGGAGGACAGCTAGGAAGATGGATCCCTGGTCCCTCTTGTTCTCCCATAGTGCCACATCCTCTCTTCATATCTTTTACATCAGAGCTTAATTTAAAAGTCATGGATCCTTTGAGGTAGGTTCTTACATTATTACCGTGTGGATAATGATTGCACCATTAAAAACCTAGGGCTCTTTGAAGACAGTCTGTGGAGAGATTGGGCACTCACTCTGGGGAGCTTGTCTTGAAGGAATTTATGTTCTGTTGGGTTCTGCTAGGAGTCTTGTGTTTTCATGATGGTCATAAATGGCAGTGGGAAAAGAGCTTAAGTTGAACTTTCAGAGGCCCTCCCCCCCCCTTTTTTTTAAAGATTTATTTTATTTGAAAGAGTTACAGAGAGAGGAAGAGACACAGAGAGAGAGGGAGGGAGCAAGAGAGAGAGATCGTCCATCCACTGGTTCACTCCCAAAATGGCTGTAACAGCTGGAGCTGGGCCAATCCCAAGCCAGGAGCCTGGAGCTTCTTCTGAGTCCCTAGCATAGGTGCGGGGGCCCAAGGACTTGGGCCACCCACTGCTGCTTTCCCAGGTGCTTTAGCAGGGAACTGGATTGGAAGTGGCGCAACTGGGACTCAAAGCAGCACCCATATAGTATGCTGGTGCTGCAGGCTGGGGCTTTAACCCACTGCACCACAGCACCAGCTCCTCCAGAGCCCTTTTGAGAAGGAACTTTAGTTTCTGTGTCTGTAGAGACAATAATAATGGAAGCAAGAGTAAATCATGTTAAATTAAATATAACAAACGAGATAATATGTGTCTGTTAAGAACAACCCTGGGGACAGGCATTTGCCATGGTTGTCAAGATGTAGCTTGGGATACTTGCATCCCAAATTGGAGTGCCTAGGTTCAGGTCTTATTTCTGCATCCATTTGCAGGCTCTTGCTAAGTTGTGCCCTGGGAGGCAGCAAATGATGGTTCGAATGTATGCTCCTGCTACCCATGTGGGAGACCTGGATTGAGTTCCAGACTCCTGGCTTCAGCCTAAACCAGTGACAACTATTGTAGACATTTGGGGAGTGAACCAGCCAATAAGATCTCTCTCTTTCTCTCTGCCTCTCTTTTTGTGTGTATGAACTTGGCAGATCCCCAACCTCCCAGAGTTTGAGTGACCTCATCTAAAAAGTAGGGTTCAGAATAACTGCTTCATGAGATTGTTGTTCGGGCTCATAATAGGTACTTCACAAATGTTCCCAGTAGGTCTTTTAGGCTTTCTATTTTCCATTTTTTTTGTTTTTAAAAGATTTTTATTTATTTATTTGAAAGAGTTATACAGAGAGAGAAAGAGAGGCGGAGAGACAGAGATCTTCCATCCACTGGTTCACTTTCCAATTGGCCTCTACGGCCA